AGAGAGTATGAAGAGCTCAGAACTGTATATGAGAACAAAAGGGAGGAAACTAGAACTGTCTAGGTTGAAAAACACCTTCAGGAAAATGGTAATTATAACAACAGCTAATATTGTTGATGCTCTGCTAAGAGCTTTGCATGTCATGTGCATTAAATAAGATAAAACCATCATGTGAAGTTAAGGTTGGAATTGAGCTCATTTTACACAAAGGAAAGCTGAGTCTTGGGTGGTCACTTACCCAAGGTCACAAAGTTGGGAAGAGATGGAGCTAAGGCTTGAACCCAGGTCTCTTTGGCTTCAATGTCCATATTCTTCATAGTCAAACTTTTTAAAGTTCTGACAATTTTGTCCCTCATATATTTCTGGAGTTTTGACTAAAGGTGGGCACCCAAACTATCTTATGAAGGGCTTTCATAGGGGTATAATTATGACCAGTGAGAAGGACAAGGTGAGATTTATGGATACTTAAAGAGGAAGAAATTCTTCCTACAGCTGTGCCACTCAGACAAGAGTTCTCTGTCTGTGGATAGTTTGAGCCTAACTGGGAGGAGGAGGAGAGTCAGGATTCCATTATTATGTTTCTTTACTACCCAGAGTGTCTGCGATTCCAAGATCCAGGAAAATGCAGTCCCATCAGGGAGTGCCGGGGGCAGAGGATCAAGTTGTAACTGCCACTATGGCCCAGAGCCCCGCGGGGACAGCCAGGGGTCGCTAGTGCAAAAACCACTTACTTCCATTAGACTTGGGTCTCGTGAGGGTGTCGTGGGGACTAGGTCCACAAGGAGCTCTGGCCCAGTTTCCCCTCCAAGACCACTCCTCAGGCTCCCATAGACCTCTGCCAAGAGCAGTTGCAAAACAAACTGATGGGACTTGGAAGAGTCACAGTTGTGGGCCCATTTCAGCTTGTTTTTGCTAATTTACAGATGCCACTTGCTGTTCTTTGGGACCCCGTCTCCCCGGAGCCTTCTTAGCAGCCCAGGTGCAACAGAAGTAAAGATCATGGATGGAGACGGTAAAGAAATGCATGTCGCTGGGACTTAGGGGAAGGGTGGGGTGCGCCAAATGTACCTTGCTTGTGTCAGGACAGGACCAAGAATTGTCAAAATAAATCTTACGAAGAGACAGAAAGGTGGGGTGTGTTGAGGACGTCGGGGGCTTCAGATCCATCAATAAACAGAGCAAAGCAAGAAAGGCTCTCAGATGTGAGCAGAGGTGGGAGACATAGATAGGGACAGGAACAGGGAATGTTTTGCATTTGGGTCCCAGATGAAATACGTAAAGTCTCAGATTATGGGATACCAAGGATTAGCAATCACCTTTCTGGAAAGCACAGCAGTCTGCCATAGCAATGAGTGAACTTGAACCCAAACTGCTGTTCAGGCTGTGCCGCATTCTGCAGTGTGGGTCTTCCTACAGGCCGCTTTTTCCAGATGCATGGTAACAGTGACCCTGTGATTAAAGTTTGAGGACTAATCCGCAGGTCAGTGGCAAACTAAGAATTGGCTTGTGGGTTTTAGCCAATCCCCATCGGCCTTCCTGACACTCTAATGTGTCGAGGGATACACACATTTCATTTTTATTTTCACACATGGTTTCAAGAAGACTCTAAGTGTAATCCTGCACTGCAGCTTCTGTCCCTAACCAGAGTGCCCTCAAGAAGCTCCTCCTACCTGACATTTGGGGCTGTGCATCACACAGATTATTAGGGGCTCAGGTCCCACTGGCTTCTCCTTTCTGGGTCATTATGAAAGAGAGACATGGGGGGCTTAGGCAAAAGATGGAGGTGCTGGTATCCAGGGCCTGTTGTCCTTAGCTCAACTTCTCTTATTCTAAAATCCTCTTCCTTTCTGCTTTCCCTCTTTTTCCCCAATCACTTCCTTAAAAGAAAACAAAGTCTTTGTCCCTTGGATGTCCCCAAGACACCAAGAACGTCCCTAACTCCACCATGAACAGTGTAGTAGGAAGATCTCTATGGCTACTGTCCTGATAGGAAGATTCTTGAGAGGACAACATCTCATGCAGCCCAACCACAAGACTTCCCTTCCAGCTCCAGGAAGTTCCTATGATTATGTGACCATTTGGATTATTTCATCCCATTCTTAGATGACCCTTTCCTTTCCTCACTGCCACTTAAATTCGTAAAGGTCACAAGTCAGTTCCTCTCTTGAAGGGCTAGCCACGGGGAGTTCAGCTGTGCCCCACGGGATAGTGGAGTGCTCCACCACCACCCCAGGGCACTTTTCTAGAGGCGCTTTGTTCTGATTCTTTCGATCAGTAAGCATGCTTTTTCCCCAACACTGGTGTCACCTGTGGAGTTTGCTGCTGCTCCTGTCCTACATTCTGCCTATACTTCCCTAATGACATGGAACTGTAATTAGCCCTGAGGTTAGAACCAGTGCACAGGCCTGGGTTGATGAATCTCTTTAGTGTCTCCACGGCAGGAATAACTCCGGACCCAAGAACTGTCTCAGAGCTTCTTGTGTCCTGGTTTTTTGAGGAAAGTCCTGATTCCCTTCTGTCTCTACATCCCATCTGGTCGGTGACATCCTCACTCTCAGTAGGATCCCAATTGGTAAAATAAATGATATGACTGTTCTACACATAACCCATTGGTGTCACGTTTACCCTGAGGGAGAATGGAGAGGAGGCCTGGAATTGTTCCAGAAGAATATACTTAAATTCTAGATAAAGAGGTGGAGGCAGAAGAGACAACTTTCCCAGGGCTGTGAGTTGAGTGCTGGGAGCCGTGATGTTTGGGAGAGACAAGGAAAGGGCAGTAAAGACTTGGGGACTTTCCTAGGTCACTTGGGGTGTTGAGCAGGGACTAGATGGGGTTTTGACTCTCCCCATCTCTGTTACCCTGGACTGAGAGGGTGAAATGCAACTGGACTTTATCCTCTGGAGAAGATTCCTTCGTTTGTTCTTCACCTTGACCTGCTGGCAAACTCTGGGTTACCCGAGCAGCAACTCTGCCACACACTCCCACCTGCTAAGGCCTCTCCTTTCAGCATCCACAAGAGAACCACCACCAAACCCTCAGACCCCATTCTCTTCTGTGAGGGGCTACCCTCCCCCACCTCCGCCCTAGTCTAGCACTACAGCTGCTCAGCCCCTCACGTCTCTGCTTGGGCAAACCCCTGTCCTTCTACACCCCAGACCCCACAACACTCCATTTTCTCCAAAGCATTTGCTCGTCCCCTCTTCTGCTTAACTTTGCATCTAATCCCTGAAAGGAATCTCCATAATATGCTTGCAGCTTCCCCATCTCCCCCGCCCCCCCCACAGGGAGGATGCAGGAGGCATCCTTTTGTGGATGCTGGTACAGGGCTAGAACCTGTTCCCTTTGCTGTTAAGCTGTTTTAGCTCCCATAGAAACAAATCAACACATAAACAGCGAAAGCAACAACCAGTTAAAAAAAGTATTACAGTTTGTGACATTAAAAGATAGTTTTGACTGATGGAAGTTACTAGAATGTAATTAGCTCCTTAGGCCAACCCTGGTGAAGGATCATCCTTTCGTGGCTTATGCAAGTTGCCTCCATGACACCTCTCACCTCCACTTCTTAGAAACTGTCACAGATGTGTAGTGTCCCTGCAGAACCATGCCCACCCAGAACCTCAGAATGTGACCTTAGTTGGAAATCTGTCTCTGCAGAAGTCATTGATTAAGCTCTCTAGATGAAGTCACTTGGGATTTAAGATGAGCTTTAAATACAATGACTCATGTCTTCATAAGAGAAAGGAGAGGGGGATTTAGAAGCAGAGATACAGGAGAGAGCCCTGTAAGACAGAGGGAGAGTGATGCTGACCGAAGCCTAGGAGAGGCCGGAGTCACCAGAAGAGAGAGAAGCAAGAAATGATCCTCCTGGGAGCTGTCAGGGAGCCCAACCCTGCTGATAACTTAATTTTGGATTTCCAGCTTCCAAATTGCAAAGAGAATAAATATATATTGTTCTAAACCAGCTTGTGACGCTCTGTTATGGTACTTTGTCATGTACTTTCTTTCTGCAGCCCTAGGAAACTAAATATTGAGGAATTAAGGCAACTCCAGTGTGTATCTGTGGGTGCTTCCCTCCCTGGAGTTTGGGGGCAGCTGCTCCAGAATCACCATGACACCAGGAACAAGTACACCACCCTGGTTGCTAATTGGGAAAAGCTTCCAGAACAGCTGTCTTCAGAAGAACATGCCACAATGTCACCCCTTACCAGTTACTTGATCTGTGAACTATAGTGTCTATACCTGTAAAATGGGGAGAGCCACACTTGCTTCCAGTACTTACATGGGGCCATTTACTATTCTATGCCTTCTCTATCTGATCACATGCATACACTCCATAGTACAGTGTTCCATCTTCATGCAAAGTTCACCCCTGTAAGGTAAGTGTCTCCACCCTATAGGTGTCCCTAACACCATGTGCTTGGGGAAGTGAGATCTCCATCCATCAAGTGCAGGAGCAGATAGAAGAGAAGGGCTACTGCACGCAAATGGCCTCAGCCTCCTTGGTCCTTGCTTCTGGGCGATTACTCATCCCAGATTTCACAGAACAGTTTTATCAACTCCGTCTTCTCTAGGATTCCAGCCTAGATCTGCAGAGCAACACAAATCTTAAGTCCAAATCCTGAAACAAGATAAACTGGAGGTGTTAAGGACATACAGACAAAACCTAAAGGGGTAACGAAGGACATTTGATCTGGTCCGCTTGATCTCTGTCTTGTGCTGGGCAGGGTTATACTTCACCATGATCTTCCCTCTCTGTCCTTGACTTGCTGGTTTTCCAGAGTCCAGCCACTGCCTTTCAGACTAATCTCACACTGGGAACTAGGAAAGTCTGATATAGTCCACAACTTTTGGGGACCCTCATCATAATGTACAGGAGGAAAGAGTCTTAGCCAGAGGAGGCAAGATAGTCACTCTGCATGCCTTTGGACATGCTGCCTTTTGCAGGTCAGAATGGAGGTCAATGAAGGGCAGAATGCCAAAGAAATCCATGAGACACAACCAGGCCCCAAGTACCATTTTTATTGGTAAAAATTTGTTTCAGATTCAGGGCTATGAGCTCAATCTTCCCAGAAGCAGAGAGAAGGATGAATATCTCAGTAGGAAGGTGATGAGAGGTGAACAGAGTAACTCTTTAGGTCCATAGGTTGGATTAGGAACAGGAGAATCAAGGTGAGGCTGGAGAACAGCACAAGACACGGGATCAGACCTGGCCTCAGCAATTCTTCTTCTTCACCTGAGGAAGAGAGGACATTGTCAGGGCCCAGGGGCCACAAAGCAGTGGGAGTGGAGCAGAGCGGGCAGAAGCTGGGCCTGACTAGAGGAGGGCTCCTTGTTTCTCCCATCCCCCAGTGGCGTATTCTTAGTGAGTCTGCCTTTCCTCCTTGGCGTGCAGTCCCCTGCAGTCTCATTGGGATGACAGTTGATCAGGGCTGGAGCTGGCTCAGAGATCCCCTTGCATCCCATGCATACTTCACCCCCTCCCTCCACCCATCTGCCCCCTCACCCCTCTCCTTACCATGGCCATCAGCACCAGGGTGCTGACCAGCACAGCATACACAGTGGCCTTCCCCAGCAGGATCTCATAGAGGATGGTGGCAGACAGCACCCCTTGCTGATAGGTCACTGTTGGGGCAAAGACAGAGCAAGTAAGTCCCTGAGAGCACATGGTCTGGCCTGCCCCACACCCCACTGTCCAAGAGTTCTCTGTGTCCTGGGTCCAGAGACAAGACCAGGGAGATGAACCGAAAGGAAGCAGCTCACTCACCTGAGGTGACACCACAGTCTGAAAGAAAAGAGGGGAGAAAGATGGGTGAGAGACCTCATCTCCTTAAGCAGGTTGGAACCAAGTCAGCCTCAAGCCTGGTCCTGGCCAGTCCTTTCTGAGCCCTGGGACCATCTTTCTTCTCCTGGGACAAGGTCACCCATCATTCTTGAGTCCTATAAAGACTGGCAGCACCAAGGGGACAGAGGGGGTACCCAGGTGCTGAGCTCCATGGAGAAAGGGGCCCCTAGCTCTTAGGCTATTGGGCAGAGGATGGGGAGGAGTTAGCCCTAGGTGCCCAGCTCCCCTTCCTGATGGCCTTTAGTCCTCTTCTCCACCCCCAGCCCTGCATCTAGACTTTCTGACTGTACCCCATCTTTGTGCTCCCCTGGTGCGGCCCCATCTCCTCACAGCCTCCCCAGGCCTGCTCACCTGCTCGGCCCCAGACCTCAGCACTGACGTTCTGGGTGATGGGTTTGGGCCCCTCCTCGGGCCACTCGTCTTCCTCTGAGAGCCCATAGAACTGCACTTGGCAGCGGAAGTGGTTGCGAGGGTTGAGCCAGAAGGTGGCAGAGACCCTCAGGCGACTGCTCAGGAAGTATTTGGAGTCATTGGCGGCACTGGAGGGCTGAGGGTCCGTGCTGACCCCATTTTGCACCTCCTTTCCATTCACCCACCAGCTCAGCTCCACGTGGTCTGGGTAGAAGTCTGTGGCCAGGCACACGAGGGTGGCCTTTTTTTTCCTGTTGATCTCTGCTTCTGATGGCTCAAACACAGTGACCTTGGGTGGGGCCACCTTCTTCAGGTCCTCTGGAAAGTGAAGGGGGGTTGGGAACAGGGCTGTTCTGAGATCACTGTGGGTCAGGTGGAGACTCTGTGTGTGCGTGTTTGACCCTCGAGATAATACAAAATTATGTTGTGGAGGTACTGTTTGCTTTGGGGGTGCAGGGGGTCAGTGTTCCACTCCCCTTTGGTGTTCTCTCTCTTCCTTGCCTTTCCTTTGAATTCACCTGAAGAACAGGCACTGTTCACTGACTGTCTCCCTTAAATGGCCTTATGAAAGGGCACTCGCTAACATTTGGGGTTGTGTCCCTTCATTGACAATTATTTATTTCTCCTCCACAAATACACGTTTACTTGCTACTTCTCATCATTTTATATAGTAGCTATTAAAATGGAATCTTGGATAGAAATCAGAAATAACCGTAGCTGAATCCTAAAACTGATTTTTCCCATCAATGCAAACTGAGGACAGTCTCTTTCATGTCCCTGTGTCATTTTTTTTTTTCCTGCAGTTTCCTCTGCCTCCAAGTGCCACCCAAGTTTCTATTACATTCTTTGCTTTTCCTTGATTCCTTTTTGTTTCTGAGCAGTTCTATTAAACTGAAGCAATATACTTCTTATGAGAACCCATAGTATTCGTATTCTGGGCTCTGGAGAAAATTTATTTTGACCCTTCCTCACAGTTCTATGGATATCACCTCCTTCCAGTGCTACCTCAGTTCTGCCTGCATACTTGCAATATAGGATTACATGCTTAGAAAGACCCAGTGCCTGATGCCACCATTTCCAAATTCTAAATATCTTTTTAATAGTAGCTCTGGCATTTTTAGTTTAAGCTGGGCCTGCAAAATTTGTAGCTGGTCCTATCTTCATATGGTCAACCTCCCTTCACCCTACCTCCTTCCTTGCTAGTTGGTTATGCTTTTAGGTCTAAACTGGCAGAGACTGGGGTAAAATGATAATATCCTCACTTCTATCTTTCACTCTGTTTCAAAGACTCTGGGGTCGCTAGTACTCACACTAAATATTGTAGGTTAAACTGCCTAGAATGGGATCCTGCCAATTTCCAAGGGCAATATGGAGTGTACTTCTCTGACCTCACTCAGTCCCTATAATAAAATTAAAGTGCCTTAAGCCATGTGAGCTATTCCCTAGGATATTTACCAATACGGCGGGCAGAACAAACATAAGCAGACCCCCACTACCCCTCGAAGGTTGTCTCTATGACTCTACTGGCCTGTGTGAATGCAACAATGTGCCCTAGTGAGCTGCTGTTTGTATTCATTTTGCTATGGACCAGCCTCAGGCCATACTGTGAGCTTCCTCTTTGCTCTTCCCAGTCTACCTCTGGCACATACACAGCCCTCCACCCTGTTTCTATATTACACAGAAATTGAAGCTCACATTTACCTTTTTCTTTTTACCTTTTTTAACCTTTCTTTTTCTTTTTACCTTTTTCTTCTCTTTTCAACTGACCCTAGTCTAAATAATTTCTAAATGACTAAAATGCCAGGGATTTGGACCCAGCTTCATCTGGCTCAAGGTTTATCTTTCTCTACCCCAGCTGGTCACAGGAATCTAGAATTTCCTCAGGGCACACTTTAGTGAAGCTGAACCAGCCCCATTGGATCCAGCTTAACGACAGTTGGTGCCTGGAGTTGTGCTTATCATACAATCTGGGTTAGTACACCAAAGACTGTGAGTTATTTCTCTGGCTTCAGGGTTCTCAACAGGTGGTATTTAAGGTCCCTTTCACCCCCAGAGCCTAAGATCTTCCAGGGAATTTTTCTCACCTCTCAGGCAAAATAACTGCATTTAAACCTGTGTTTGAGATAAATGAACAGAAAGTCTGAGCTGTTTTAACAATGATATCTAGAGTGAGTGACAGAGATTTCAGGCTAGTAGGGGTGGGATTTTCATCTAGGGAGTAAATACATCCCAGAAGCTGAGGTGCCCCCATTCCTGCCTGCACCTGTTTAATGACCAGCTATGAGCAGGCGTGGACACTGGGCCTCCACCGCTGCTTCAGGGGTCCCACACTTAGGAGGAGAGAGATGGAGGGGTTTTAATTTAATTTTAAATCTACACTGCCGAGCCTCAGCTTGTTTTCTTGTTTTGAGTCTTCTTTACTGACTCATGCTTATCTGGCTATGGTGTTGGCTTCCCTGTTCCACTCTTGTCTGGCAGCCTTTTTCTTCTCTTTTCAACTGACCCTAGTCTAAATAATTTCTGCCCCAACACCTGCCTGGAGCCCCGCTTTGGCGGGCACTACCCTCTTGGTTCATTCCTGCTATGTCTGCGCATTCAATTCTTTTTGCTTCTTAGCAGACATATCTCCCTCTACCTAGTCCCCAACCAGGCTTGCCCTTCTCTTTTTCTCTAGTCTAGCGGTTCTCGGGAGGGGAGTCCTACTAAATCGTCTCTGTCGCCCAGCCTGTCCCTAAACATCTCAGAAAAAGAGAGAAACTGGCCATGTCCTGTGTCCAGGTTCCTAGACCTTGAGCACCTCCCTACCCAACCTGTCTCACCAAGCTGCGGAGAAGCCAGGAGGTGAAGTTGCAAAGCTGACCCCGGATCACTAACTCTCTGCGGGCCCACAGCTCCCCACCACCCCGCACCCATCGGGGGACCACGGGGCTCAGATAGGAAGGTGGGGGACACGCGCGAATCTCACCTACGACCGTGAGCCTGGTGCCGGGACCGAAGTACTGTTCGTAGGAGCACGGAGGCACAGCCCCGAGCGCAAACCCCAGCAGCGCCCTGAGCCACTTCCCACCCCAGGGTCCCAGCCCGGGGCTCCCAGCTCCGGGACGGGTTGGCTGGAGCGCAGTTCCGGGAAAAAGGTGCAGAGGAGCGGGAGCAGCCCCCGGACCACGCCCTCATCCATCCCGATCGGCTCCCGAGCTGCAGGTCCCCCGACACTCACCCAGTACGGTCAGCCGGCTGCCAGCCCCGAAAGTCAGGGTACCGGCTCCAGAGCACAGCCCGGGGGCTCCCCACAAAAACTGGACCCGAGCGACCAGCTCCCGCCACCGTCCCCTCCCGCCACGGTCCCCGCCCGCCGCCGCTCACCTAGCACCAGCAGCCGCGTGCCTGGCCCGAAGTACTGGGTCCCTTGGTTCACGGCCCCCGAGCGCGGCACAAAAACCCGTGCCACAGTCCCACCCTGTGCCCGGCGGCGGCCCCGGCTCACCTAGCACCGACAGCCGGGTTCCGGCACCGAAGTACTGAGTGTTTTGGCTCACAGCACCCCAGAGCGGCACAAAAACTGGCGGCACTCCGGCGTCCCCCGAGGGCCCCCCACTCCCGCACCCCGGTTCCCCGTGTGCCCCCGCTTACCTAGCACCGTCAGCCGAGTTCCTGGGCCAAAATACTGAGTATCTGAGCTCACAGCCTCCAGGCCCAGGACAAAAACCCGCCCGGCCGCTCCTGCTGTCCCAGCCCCAGCCCAGGTCCCTACCCACCCTGAGCGCTCCAGGGGTCTTTGGGCTCAGGCGCCGAGGAGCGGCTCTCAGCGCAGCCTCACAGGGAGCCCACCAGCTACCCATCTCTCTCCATCCCAACCCACCATATCGTCCAGCTTCCTCCTTACCCAGTATGGTGAGCTTGGAGCTTTCCCCAAAGAACCACTGTGAGCGAACTGTGTTCCCACAGCCGTGGGATCCCGTCACAAACCCCCGCTTTCCCCAGGGAAGGGCACTCGATGGTCCGGAGCCCACTCCCCTAAGCTGGCCAGGGTTCAGGGGCATCCAGGCTGATCAGCCACTTCTCCTGGAAGCTGCCTGCCTTACCTAGCACGGTGAGCCGGGTCCCTGATCCAAAGAACTGCTCGGCATAGGAGCACAGTGGCAAGGAGCTGTCAAGAATTCTTGCTCCTTGCCTTCCTCACTAAGGTCAGGAGAAGGGGAAAGGCTGGCCCTCCCTCTCCTCGGTTTTCCACTTCCCACCTCTAGACTTAGTTGGACAAAGTAAAGGGTATTGCAGAGGTCACCCCCAATTTGTAGATGAGAATTCACTTGGTTTGGGGATGATACAGTGAAGGTGAAATCTGATGGGGTGTTGGTAGTGTTGGGTAACCTGGAGGGTTTCAGACTAAACCCTGCCTCTTACTGATTATATAACCTGTAACCTCTCTGACCTCAGTTTCTTCATCTGAAAGATGGGATAATATCTTTTCTACAAGGTTTTTACCAGTTTTAATTATATTTGATGCAGTCACAAGTACTTTGCCAAGGGCAAGTTTTATGAAAAATGCTGAATAGCAACCCTACTTAGTTGCCTTGCCCTTCTCGTTTAAGGAAAGCGGTGAGCAGGGAGATACACAGGTATTCACTCAGTCTTGGACCCTGCTAGACAACAGTAGGGACCAGCAGCACAGACCTCTGCCCATCTGGTAGCTGCTTTCCCCTGGCTAGAGGGTATATTTTCTGGGTCAGGGCTTTTTGTAAAAGCATCTCCTCTACTTGAATCATTGTGCTCCCCCCACTCCCCACAATGTTATATTATGATACAAAAATGTTTCTTCCCCATTGGTGCCCCTCCCCCAGCCACTGGGCAGAGGCAGAAGGTGCAGGTGGCAGAGGTTAGTCTGAGTGGGGCTAGGCAAACACAAACCCAAGGTAAATCTAAATGGGGGAGGGGCTTGTGGCTGGTTATTGTGCTAGTGGTGGTGTGGTAATGAGAGCAAAGAGCCCCTCCCTGGAACATGCGCCATTCTGAGGAGACCATCTATGTCATTGGGTCTCCCTTCTGGGGCTCACTGTGCCCACCTGCTCAAACTGGCATTTATAGTGAAGTAGATGAGAATGGGGGAGGGGAGGACAACTTTAACAGAGCAATCCATGATGCAGGTGATGGCAACTTGTGGCACAAGGACAAACAACTCAGAAACCGCAATAATTCCTATTGCTTCCTGGACAAAGTCCACACTCCTTATTTATTTTTTCCACAGGTATTTAGTGAGCATCTATTCTGCATCAGGCCGCATGCTATTTGCAACGGTAAAAGTAATTTTGATCACTCCTACCTCTGAGCCTTCCAGCTAAATTGATAGACCTAATATGTTTGGGCTTTTGTTCATACCTCTAACTTGGTATTACCACTCTCTAGTGGACGGCTGAGCCTGATGATTCTTCCTTTGAAGAGTTTACCACCTCTTCAGACTCTTCCCTGATTATCCCAGCCCAAGTTAATTGCCAGTCTCTGCATGTTAGTGGACAGCTCAATCGCTGTTTCAAAGCATGGTCTTGTATTCCAGGTCTTTGTAGTCGTGACTTAGCTCCTTTATGAACTGGGGTACTATAATTGGGATACCTTTATTTTCTTGGAGGTCAAAAGCAAATCACTGCAATGACATGTGTTCAATGAGTAGGTGTGTAAATATATTCATATGTATACATATGTGTACATATATGCACAGACACCTTTTGAAAACATGCACGTGTTGCATTAGAGAGAAACAGCTGTGTGGTGTAGGGAGATGGCTATGTCAGTAAGGACTTGTGATGATGTCCCTGAATTGGGTCACTTTGGGTTCACTGTTTATTCACTGACTTATTCAGATTCCTATCTGGGGTCTACACTGAACCAAGGCATCAGGCCATATTCCAGGGATACTATCATAAAACAAAAGAACCTCCCAGTCAAATGGGGGTATCAGACAAGAGGTCGTTTCCATTAAGTGTGTTGAGTCAGGAAGTGGGAGGCATCCTCTGCATCAGGCACTGGGATGGTGTGGTTCATCCAGTCTCAGGGGAGTAAAGGGGAAAGACAGGGCGATGAAGGGCCCGAGAGGCTTTTGGGAAGGAAAGAGATCCAAGTCAGATCCTGAAGGCCAAGTAGAAGTCATGAGAGAGAAAGAGTGCTGTCATTCCAGCCAGGATGGATACGAGTATCCTGTACACAGTGACCTGAGCAAGAGGCTTAGGGGTCCAGACATAGGAAGATGGGTGGGTAAGCACGGAATAATGAGATAGACTTTATACTCTCATCTGTATGCCACCTAAAAGACTGGGACTACATCACCACAGTGACCAGGAGACAACAGAGAGCTTCCCAGAGGTCTCTAGACCTAGAAATAGGGCTGATTTTTGGTTTTAGAGAACTTTATTTTCTATCCTTATAGGCAATCATTTTCACACCAATATAATTAACTAAAGGGAAATTCATCAACAAATTGTAACTTAAACTGTAAGATACATCTTCCACTGAAAATAAGTTTCCAAGTCAGTGCATTGTCTTATTTTCAGCTGGGAAATCTACGTGGTGAACTAATGGAGAACCAGTGTAATCTAGGAAGTGACTGGAAGGATATTGGGTGACATATCGGGAACCAAGCCTTGTCAACAAGGATTATATGACCAGTTGACAGATGGACACATTTGTGTGGGTCTGCTGTTTCTTGGAGCACATTTGTCCAGGGAAGGAGAGAAAATTGCTATACTCAGCCTCTCCATAGACTATTCTGGGTATAACTCCCATTACCACCTTTTCACATTTAATTAATCTCTCCTGTCAATCACAGGTGGGTCCCTGACTTTTCTGACTGGAGGGTTCTGCCTTTTCTTGAATGCCTGCTGTTTCTATCCTGACTAAACAGGAAGAGCCATGGGGAATTCTGAGATAGAAAAAAAGCAGAAATATCACGTTAGGCCAGAACAGGACATTTTATTTGTTTGATCATCTAAGCATTCTAGGATTCCTTTGGGTTAGGGAAATTTAAGCAAAAATGATCAAGTGAGCATGCCTATAGGGGATAGATATTGGGGTGAGGAGAGGGATAACATCCCTTCAGAAGCATTGGCAAAAGGAGAATCCATGCAGCGCCATATTGGGTTGAAAGTTCCTGGCTGCACCTCCAGAGATAGCTTCAGGAATCCTTTCTCTTGACCTGCAGCAGGGGAGGTGGGGAATAAGAAGAAGTGGAAGGGCCATTGACCAAACAAACAGTAAGTTTCCTCACAAACCCACTGGTTGTTTGGGGGACCACAGATTTTTCTTCCTATCAGGACTCTGGAGTCTCAGGTTGTCTTTTGATGTATATGAGTAAAGCTCCTTCCTTCCCTACCACCCGTAAATGATCCTGAGGGTCTCTATATCTGTGCTTCTGAGTTTGGGTTGTGAGATTTCCTGTAACACGCCTGCCCCATCCCACCCTCCTCCTTACCACGGCCATCAGCACCAGGGTGCTGACCAGCACAGCATACACAGTGGCCTTCCCCAGCAGGATCTCATAGAGGATGGTGGCAGACAGCACCCCTTGCTGATAGGTCACTGTTGGGGCAAAGACAGAGCAGGTAAGTCCCTGAGAGCACATGGTCTGGCCTGCCCCACACCCCACTGTCCAAGAGTTCTCTGTGTCCTGGGTCCAGAGACAAGACCAGGGAGATGAACCGAAAGGAAGCAGCTCACTCACCTGAGGTGACACCACAGTCTGAAAGAAAAGAGGGGAGAAAGATGGGTGAGAGACCTCATCTCCTTAAGCAGGTTGGAACCAAGTCAGCCTCAAGCCTGGTCCTGGCCAGTCCTCTCTGAGCCCTGGGACCATCTTTCTTCTCCTGGGACAAGGTCACCCATCATTCTTGAGTCCTATAATGAGTGGCAGCACCAAGGGGAGAGAGGGGGTACCGAGGTGCTGAGCTCCATGGAGAAAGGGGCCCCTAGCTCTTAGGCTATTGGGCAGAGGATGGGGAGGACTTAGCCCTAGGTGCCCAGCTTCCCTTCCTGATGGCCTTTAGTCCTCTTCTCCACCCCCAGCCCTGCATCTAGACTTTCTGACTGTACCCCATCTTTGTGCTCCCCTGGTGCGGCCCCATCTTCTCACAGCCTCCCCAGGCCTGCTCACCTGCTCGGCCCCAGACCTCAGCACTGACATTCTGGGTGATGGGTTTGGGCCCCTCCTCGGTCCACTCGTCTTCCTCTGAGAGCCCATAGAACTGCACTTGGCAGCGGAAGTGGTTGCGAGGGTTGAGCCAGAAGGTGGCAGAGACCCTCAGGCGACTGCTCAGGAAGTATTTGGAGTCATTGGCGGCACTGGAGGGCTGAGGGTCCGTGCTGACCCCATTTTGCACCTCCTTTCCATTCACCCACCAGCTCAGCTCCACGTGGTCTGGGTAGAAGTCTGTGGCCAGGCACACGAGGGTGGCCTTTTTTTTCCTGTTGATCTCTGCTTCTGATGGCTCAAACACAGTGACCTTGGGTGGGGACACCTTCTTCAGGTCCTCTGGAAAGTGAAGGGGGGTTGGGAACAGGGCTGTTCTGAGATCACTGTGGGTCAGGTGGAGACTCTGTGTGTGCGTGTTTGACCCTCGAGATAATACAAAATTATGTTGTGGAGGTACTGTTTGCTTGGGGTCACTGTCCCCGTCTCTGTCGCTCTCCTTCTATCCTTATCTCATGTATAGGTACTGCTTACTGCACACCCCCATCTCCCTAAGGACGTGATTTTTTTTTTTTTTTTTTTTTTTTTTTTTTTTTGCTTTTGTTATTTCTCTTACTCTGGGACTTTTTTGCTGATCTTTCAAAACATTTATCAGTCTGTTTTTTTCCTAGTTCAGCATCATGCTCAGAACATGGATAATGATTTTCAGACTCAGAAGCAGTCAGTGTACCATTTAGTGAGCCTGGATTTTGAGGCAGAAAATTCCCATCAGCAGCATGATAGAAGGAATCAAATTTATTTTTTTCTAATTATCATTTTTCTTTTTTTAAAGTGTGGTATTAGTTTGTTTCAACAATACCACAGATTGGAATTAGCCTTTCTTGCCCATAAGACACACTTTCCTCATTGTGTTTATTTGTCAAGCGGGTGTGGTGGCTTGCCTAGAATGGCTATAATTCTATGAAAGACCTTGTGCATTATGAAAAATAGTCAAAGCCTGATTGCTGTTATAAACAAATCACCAGGTCGGTCAGCCATTTCAGCAAAAGGCTCACACTGGAAATCTCTGGGTACTTTCACACCCTTGGCAGATGAGAGGGAAGAATTTCTGGAATCATTGGAAGGCATTACCTCGTGTGATGCCTCATGAGGAACGGAAGGGACCGTATCCACTGTGCATGCACCTGCTCTTTTGCCAGTTTGCTGCCCTGTTTGGCTCTGCTCTGACCATAGTACATAAATGTGCCATGCCAAGGTGACTCCACTCTGTCTAAATTTGAGAAATGTTTGGGAAATTTGAGGCACAGGTTTGGAAAAAGACAAACACTATGATGATGCAGGGATGAAAATTAACACAAATGCAAGTTGTCAAATCAGTTGAATCCTTTATAAAGGATTTTTACCCATTTTACATCTCTTAGAGAGCTAGAGATGATTTTAGTCATCTTTCAAATGGAATGAACCATCATCATACCCTATGCTGGGACCCATTCCATTGAACCCAGGACTTGGAATTCAGTGATTAGCACTTTCAATTAAATTTTTTGGCTTGAGCCCCTACCTGCAGGGCACTGTCTTCCCAGGGACCCATCCTGGCATGACCTGGTATCCCATTATTTCAGTACTGTCTGTTTCCAGCCCATTCCCCTCACCCACCTCCTTCTTCCAAAGCATGGCCATGGCTCTGTCAGGGTTTCAGGAAGGCCCTTTACCCCAACATCCCAGTGAAAATGTTGAGATCTGAGAAAATAGGGTCTCCAAACTAATTTTTTTTTGCCTTTATACTTAACCTGTTGCTGAGATGGGGTAAGTTTCCTGTTGTAATGGTCTATTAAGACTTCTCTCCCTGATACCCACCAAGCACAGCACACCCCAGAGACTCCCCTGCTGCTCCTGCAGTGCCATGACATGGACTATGTCCCCAGGCCTCAGGAGCAGCCCTTAAACCACGCTGGCCTCACCAGCCTGGGCCCTACTGCCTCCAGGGCAAATTCAACCACCCCAGAGAGATGAACGTGGCTCTTCTGAGACTGGCAGGGGCAGACAGGAGGAGAGTCAAGCAAGCCCACAGGTCTGTGCTGGAGGTTTATGTTGGGAAGGAGTTTAACGTAGGTGACAGAGCTAAGTAACCAAAAGGGGGTCAACAATGCAGAAATGGAGAAAGGAGAGGAAGGAAAGAATGGAGATGAGCAGATAAAAAAGAGAAAACAAAACAACACACCTAGTAGGGAGGTAGAGGTAAGGGAAGTCCCAGAGAGCAAACAGAAAGAGAGCAAACAAACAGAAAGCCCGAAGGTGAAGGAAGAGGCTCTCAGGCTGGAAGCTGCGGCAGACACGGAACAGCAAGCGGCTGGGTCCTGGGAAGGTAGGAGAGGGCACCTGGCTGCAGGTGGGAAGGGGCAGCTCTGATATTTAAGCTTATGCCCAACACCCTTCCCAGATCACTGTGGTCAAACACCAGCACCCCTAGAAATGGAGCCCCCATACCTGTCACGGTGAGCCTGGTACCAGTCCCAAAGAAGAGAGGTGAAGTATTGGAGCACAGCTACAAGTGGCTGGGTAAAATCCTATTGGGGGTTCCAGCCAGAGGCAAGCCTTTGCTCCCCAGAACAGAGGGCCGGCCACCTTTCTCTGCCTGCACTCAGGGCAGAAGTCCATTAGGAAGAATGCCTAAGCATACTATGCAGTGAGAGGAAAGGGAAGGACAGGAGGGACGGGTCGAAGAGGTTTAGGGGGAGCAGATCCACGCACGAGAAGGAAAGATGAGCAAAGAAAGTAGGGGCGGATCACAGACTGAAGACTCAGAGGACAGAAACAGAGGTGCCGACCCAGCCCCAACCACCCTGGCAAGTCAAGGAGTAAAGGAATCACCAAGTCCCCGTCTACCAGTGCTGGGAGAAGCGGAGACTGACTCTGAAGGACAGTGGCCCTACCACCCCAGACCTGCAGCTTACCTAGGACAGAGAGTCGAGTCCCCTCTCCAAAATGCTGTGCCTGGTTGTTACACAGTAAAACACAAGGGTGGAAAACCCCAGTTCGCTGCTGGAGTGGACTCCACCCTCCTACTCTCTCTCAGCCCAAACCCCGGCTGTGTCCTCAGTGCCTGTCCCCTCCAGAGTCCTCCTGGAACTCCGATGTAACAAGACACTACTCCAAAATAAACCTTTTACCTACCTAAGACAGACAGCTTGGTTCCGTTGCCGAAATAGAGTTTTTCGTTGGTTGCACAACCCGACAGCCTGGCAGAAAAACTGCCTCCTCCTCCTGCCGGCCATTCCCTCCCGCCAAGCCTACCACCTGCTCACCTCTCCCCGTCTGTGGAGAATTTTACGTCTGAAGTGGAGGGCAGGGCAGACAACCTTAAATGCCATGATTAGGGGACAAATGTGCCCTATGGGGTCCCCATCCTTCTCTCTGTGTCTGTCTCTTTTCTGTGTGAAGGAGACAAAGAGCAGGACCATGAAGATGGTAAGGGCAGAGACCCTGCCACCTATCATGGTCAGAACAGGCACCTTGAAGGAACAGGAGATGGACAAGGTGACTCCTTCCCAGCTAGTTCATCTGCCTCCCTAGTACAGTACCCACGAAATGTTGGATATGGATTCCCTCCATGTCTACATCCAGACACCAATTCAGATCTTCCCAATAAAAATACATTGTAACCCAGGCCCATGAAATAGAGGCTCCATCTGGTCCCCAGCCCTCCAACCCTGATTTACTTACCTACAACAGTGAGCAGGCTTCCCTCCCCAAAATAGACCGTATTTCCAGAACACAGCCTCCTGGGTCCACTTCAAAACCTCCCATTGTCTGCTGAGCTCAGCTGGGATTCAGGGAGAGGCTGGGTGTTCATGGTCCCTTTCCTCACACAGAACACCCTGCTTCACACACTCCCATGCCCTTCCAGAGCCTGCCCAGGACCCTCGCAGGTGAGGAAGAGAGACACAGCATGGCCTGCTCAAGTCTAGTGCCAGGAAAAACAGAAGCCCCTCCAGACCCACTCGCCAATGAGGGAGATGGACTAGTGTGGCAGCTCCTTCATTACTGCCGGGTTCTCAGTTCCCCTACCTTTTTCTTTGCCTGTTGCCTTCCATCCCAGACTTAGCTCTGACTCCACCAAAAATCTACAGACCACCTGGATGGATTTGCCCTCACGGGGAGCCTCCTCTGAACTCAGTCCCTGACACGAGAGGGCCTCTCCTTCATATTTTGACATTTCCCAGAACAGAGTCTACCCTCATCGAACAAGCCCAGAGAGCCTTACCTATGACCGTGAGCCTAGTTCCCGAGCCGAAGGTATAGTCATAGTTGGCACATCCAAATATAGCCACTCAAAAATGGACACTTGAGACCCACTTTTCCCACTAAGGGAGCTGAAAATTTATCCGAGAGATACCTTACCTACAACCGTGAGCCTCGTGCCTTCTCCAAAGAAGACTTCTGTGTTTGCACGGTGACGTGGGGCAAGGAGGAAAATACAGTCCAGGTGCAGAGAGAGGAAGCCCTGGGTAGGATCTGAAGGCCCTGGATGAGGAATGCCCTCTTCTGCTTTGTAGATTTTGTGTAGAAAGACATTTTCAATGCTTTACTCTTGGAACCACGGAACATGACAGGGAACTTCTGTCCCTTTCTGGAAGGATACCCATACAAAAGCTCCCTCTCTGAGGACCCATTAAAGGGACTCAGGTGTGCAAAGCAGGCCAGGGGCCCAGAACCTATGACAACTGTGTCTGTCAAGGGCTGGGTATCCCTGGTGTCCTCTTGAATCCTCTATAGAACCTCTGATGCACCTTTCCATGACCTGGGCTTGGCAAGAAGGGATCTCCCTGCATCCTTCACCTGTGGCGCCACTGAGGAATTCTTGTCTCTGGGTTCTTTCTGCACGGGAAGCTCCAGTTCTGATCTGGGCCTGACTTTGTCCATGACCTTGGCCTGGCATGTGGCCAGGTGTAAGGCAGAAGCATTCTGAACCCAACCACACCTGGGCCTGGGACCCAGGAGATGAACAGAAGGGCTGTGGATGTCGGGACAGGCGGAAAGGTTTTTGTAAAGGCTTCCCATAGAATTGAATCACTGTGGCCCCCCCTGTCCCCACAATGTTACAGCTTTATACAAAAACGGCTCCTCCCATGACCCCACCCCTTAGAGGCTGAAGAAACCACCAGAGCAGCTGCTTCTTTGAGGGGGTAGAGACAGGAGGGGCAGGGGACATCACCCCCCATTGTGGGGAGATGGTGGGGCACAGACCAGGCTGGGGGCTCCCTTCTTACCCCACTTGGGGGCTGTGTGACTTATAGAAATGTTTGCTGAGGGGGCTGGTTTCCCTGGTATCCACCCCTTACCAAGCTGTCGTCACAGCAGGGAGCTACCCTGTCATGAAGTCCCAGAACCACCCCTCACCTCAGCCCCGCCCCAAGAACAGACCCCTCTGGACTCAGACTGTCTCTTTAGCAGATCCTGAGCCTTGCAGGTGGTCAGCTGGGTCCCGGAGTTCTGTGGAAAATTGACCACAAGCTACAGAGAGCAAGGACTGTTCTAGATACAGAAAACAATAGCTGTATTTCCAGGGACCAGTTTGGAATGAGAGGAGATCACAGGCAGCGTCAGCCATCCTGACCTTCACTGTTGGCCTCAGAAGCTCAGTTAGGTAAAGGGAGCAGGGGAAATCCTGTGGAGGCTGGATGGAGAGCACCTACAAGGCCACTCCACGGTCACAGCCTTTGTGCTCTCTTCTCTGAAGGACAGAGACATTTTAAGTTCAGGCTGGTATCTTTTCCCCTCAGGTACAAGATGACTTTGAAATTTAACCTGCATTTGGGTGGCCTAGATACCTCTCCCCAGATGATACTTCCTTTTTTGCTATGACTTAAAATCCAGATGAAGGAAAAAGGCAAACATGACTAAATAATAATGACACATTTGCACAGAAAAATAGAAGAAAAATCAAATAACGTGGGGGAGAGATTTGCAATTCACACCCTCTGTGCTATTTCCCCCAACATGTGATAAACTCCTAAAAATCAAGAAAATAATCCAACAGCCCTATAAAAAAGGGCAAACAGCAGATGGTTCAGAGGAAAAGAAATTGAAGTGGTACTTAACTACAGGGAAAAACTATCACAGCAATAATGTAAAGTAAAAATCCATTGAAATAATACTTTTCACCAATTAGACTGACAAAAAGAAATCCTGAAGGCCGTCCTTCCCAGGTAGCATTTGGTGAAATAAACACATTAACATGTTGTTGCTGGTAGGAATGCAAATGACACACCTCAAGTGAAGCAATTTGGAAGCAAAATCATTTGCCTTTTCATCCAAAAGTCCCACTAGGGGAATTTATATTGTAAACACTGCTGCATACAATTGAAGGCGGGAGAGATATTTGCACCATTTAGAAAAGTAAAATATTGGGAAAAACTCAGAACAGGATGGGATCAATACACTGTGTGATGTTCCCACAATGGAATAGTATTAAATGCTAAAAAATTAATAAGATGCTTGGAAAGATCTTGAAGATAAATCATTAACTGGAAAAGAGCAAACTGCAGAACTGCATAGATGTATTCTACCATTTTGTCCAACAAAGGGGGGGGGGAAATTATACATTTGTTCAGTTGATTTTTTACAAAGAAACATGGGAAGGATACAAAAGAAACTGGTAAGAGTGAATACCTATGAAGGATGAATGGCGAGGGCAGGGACAGTGAAAATACAGGTTACATCTCTCGGTATTAACTTCATTGTGTTATTTCCATTTTGAGACTAGATAACTATACTATTTAAAATTAAACTTAAATTAATAAAATTTAAACAAGAAAGAGAAACAAAATATTACTTTGAATAGTATATGAAAATATCCTACTTAAAAAAGAAATGCTTACTTAGTTTACAAGGCCATTGTTTTTTTCCAAAGAGGATCATTTTATATAAGGAGCAAATTCATGGTCATGAATTCAGGGATCAGTGGAATTCCTAGTCCTGTAGGAAGCTTGTGAGAAATGCAGACTTCTAATGACTCCTTATGAGCTTGAGTTAAAATCTCTATGATTAGGTTTACCAACATATTTAAATTAAAAAAAAGGGAGAAAATTCTCCTGGGTATTTCTGTCACAGTGCCACGCATGGGACCCATAGTTGGTTCCCTGATGGAAACTGGACAGGTGTACGCCCTGGAGAATATCAGAGTGCTAGCCAGGGGTGCCCTAAACTGGGTGCAGGGCCTGGGTCTTAGAATTTGGTAAGGAAAGTGGGAGACATCTGGTTATTTGCCTCATTAATAGTGGCAGATCTCACACCACCAACAGCCTGAATAAAAGGTCGATTGCTTCCATTGATTGCAAAGTAGTTAAGTTCCCTTATTTATTTTCTTTCTTCATTGAGGCATAGACTTTACTTTGATCTATTTTCAAGTAGATCTGTTTTCCTGTCTTATTCACCCCTTTTGCCTATCAATAATTTACCCACTAAGTTAGTTTCCCTTTAATCATCTGAGGACCTTAATCCCAACTAGTCTTATGATATCATAGTATCTGATGGAGCTTTTCTTAGTTTTGCTTCTTTGGACATTGGGCCCTAATGCACACACAGCTCGCTCTTTCTTTCTTCCTTCCTTCCTTCCTTCCTTCCTTCCTTCCTTCCTTCCTTCCTTCCTTCCTTCCTTCCTTCCTTCTTTCTTTCTTTCTTTCTTTCTCTTTCTTTCTTTTGTTTTTTGGCCAGGTAAAAGCAGCATACACTGGTCGATTTGAGGCCATGCATCTATTTGGGCAGCAGGAGGCAATCTTTCCTTATTTTTTAGAGCTCAGTACATGCAATCTGGGCTTGGCCACTTGAGGGGGTCAGAAGAATGTGCAGAATGCTGTTGGGGACAGGAGAGGGACGCAGGATCTTTCTGAAGTTGTATATTGTGGGGCAAGGGGGAGAAACTGGGACACATACAAATAACATTTTTCTCATCTGTAATTCTTGAGAATGTTCAAACATGTTCATAGGTTTGTTTCAAACTCTTTCCCCCGACCCACTGAATTTTTTGAGTTGAAGAGCTGAAAACTAAAGAGGCTAAAATGAGCTGCCCAGTGATGAGAAAGAGATGACACCCCTACTCCAGACTTGAGTTCCCTGCTTGAGTTCCCTGCCCTCAGGGAAGCCTACCCCCTGCATCCCAATCTGACTGAGCTCCCACTGGCCCCACTTAAGACTAGGAGAACTTGGACAAGTTACCATACTGCTATAAACTCCAGTCTCCTTATTAAAATGAGAATAACAACAACAACAACAAAATAATAACCACCTCATGGGACTGCTGTGAGCACTAAATGATATAATACATCTGAAGATTTATCCTGGTGCCTGAATATAGTCAGTAAAACCACGAGCTACTATTATTCTTTTCATAGAGAGAACTGGCTTAGGGATTTCTCTACCACGCTGGATCTCAAACTTTCATGTGATCAGAATGACCCAGAAGATGTGTTAAAATGCAAGTTCTTGGGCTCCATTCTAGAACTTCTGACTCAGTGGGTCTGGCGAGGGGCCCAGCATTTGCATTTCTCCCAAGGTTCCTAGTGATTCTGGTGCTAGGTACCAGGGACCGCTCTTTGAGAACCATTCTTCTGAAAGTTTCGTTCTTTCCTCAGGACCTGCTTTTCCCTTCACTCTTTCTTCATCAATCACTAGGTGCTTATTCTATCCTGGGATTTGTCTGATCACAGGAGATATCTGCATGAGTAGGGCCTGATCTCTTGTCAAAGTCCATGCCAGGATCAGCTCAGCCACTGTCTGGGCACCATGGGCAGAGGCATGGCAGAAGTGGGCAGAGAAGGAGGATGCCTGACTCATTGGAACCAGCATCAGGATGGAAAGAGAAGGAGGCATCAGGGAAGAGTTTTCTGAAGAGTCTGGAGAGAATGAGGCAGGACATCCATGCTGGTGGAGTCATGGTGTCCAGAGATAGAGGCCAGAGGTGCATGGCTTGTTGCAAGAGCCACCAGGACTTCTGAGTGTTGGAGGAGAGCTGCAGAGAGGCAGGGCAGAACAAGGACCCTGCAGTTCCATTACAAGGAGATTCATTCTGAATGATGTGGGAAGCCAAGTGCGGTGTGAACCAGGTACAATGAACAGGAGCATCTGAGCTGCATGGAAGGGAGCAACAGGGGGAGCCCCTCAGGAGGTTCAGGGAGTCAGGAAATGGGCTGGAGAGACTGGTCTCATCACTTCAGACGGACGTTGCAGCAGGAGAGAATGGGAGGCAGGACAGTGTGCACATAGGCAGATGTGGTGTTCCCCGGGTCGACCATCTGCTGGGTGTTGGGCATGGGCAAGCTAATAACCTTCTCTTAGCCTCTGCTTTCCATCTGTACCACTGGAATAAAAGCCACTCTGGAAGGGAGAGAACTAAGTGTGCAAACACCTCTAAAGCCCTCAGGACAGTGTGTACACAATGGTGTATACATATTACGTGGGTGAACCAAAGGCAGACCTCTCAGGCTGTGACTGATGGAGACCTAGCGAGCTCTGCTCTCCTTCCAGACCCTGGGCAGGTGGTTGGGAAATGGCTGATGGGCTCTTCTTTAAGTTGGACATCTGCAGGTAGGAGGGAGTGCAGCACTTTGTCCACAAGAATATGGGTGAGGGGATTGGAAGCTGAGGTGACCAGGGCTGAGGTTTGCCTAGCTGTGTTTGCTCTGGGTACAAGGAGGTTCCTGCTGAGTAGAGAAGACAGGATCTTACCTACCAACCAACTGCACATGCATCAGCACAATCAAGACCCACCCGAGCACCAAGGTCAAGGAAGCTCTTTTCACACACCTCTGGGAAATGCATTTTTCTTGAGAAAATAGATCATCCTGCCTGTTGCGTCTTCTTCTTTTTTTTATTATTATTATTAATTGAATTTCATGTCATCATATGCTGTTAATCTAGTATTCCCTGGAGATTATTTTGAGAACTGGGGCCTCTGCTCATCATCTCTCAGGAGAGAGCTCTGTCTGACCTCAGACTGGAGGATGCTTTTGAGACCAAAGGTTCTGGAGGAGCAGGCACAGACACAGGCAGTGAGGATAGAGCAATTTTATTGGCAAGGTGACTTCAGAGGGACAGGCATAGGGACTTTAATTGGCAGCGATGGTCTGCTGGATCCAGGCCACATAGTTGCACACCCTGGTATAGACTCCAGGATTGTCCTTCAGGGCACAGCCATAGCCCCAGGAGACAATTCCCTGAAGCTGACCATTGCAGACCACAGGGCCACCGGAGTCACCCTGGAGAGGAGGGATGAGTAAATAGGACGTGAAGAGGAATATAGCTACACTTACTCTGAACCTCAAAGACCCACCCAGCTGTGTGGCTCCATATCTTTCTCACAGGGACCCATTCTCTGACCTTTCTAAGGAGCCGGCATGCAGCAGCCCAAATGAGCCTTCCCACCCAGCCTCACCACACTTGGGTATTCAGATTCTACTCCCAGGTGGGACCTGGGTGCTGGCAAAGCTCTTGACATGTGGAGGGGCCAAATCACCTGGCAAGAATCCTTTCCTCCCTCCAGGAAGCCTGCGCACACCATGTTGTTGGTGATCTGTCTAGGGTAGGCAGCTTCACACTGAGCCTGGCTCAGCAGCGGGGCCCGCAGGCATTGCAGCAGGTCTGGGTAGTTGACTATAAGGGGCGGAAAATGAAGGAAAG